ATCTCCCTCAGCCCTCCTAGTGCTGCTGCGAATAATTACTTAATCAGAACAGCCCTGGATCAATGCGCCCAGAGTGTCTGCAATTAGCATCGCCTGTAATCGCTGCAGCTGAGCCTTCTTCAGGGCCGAGACCAGACGCTGGGCAGAGGCTGCACTGGCACAAACAGGTCGCCTTCCCAGCCCACCCGCCCTGGTCCAGCCTCCTCCTTCTGCATTGGCATCGGCATCAGCATTGATACTGGCAGGCCTCTTAAACCATGGGGTGCATGCAGACTTCTCCCCCCAACAGTGTCAGGGATGCTGAGGAGGGGCGCTGTGTTCCACGGGGGCTGGAGGGAGAGGAGGATGTGCAAAGCTATACAGTGAGTGCCCTTGGGAACTGGGCTTAATACCCGGGACCTCAAGCAGGTGAGGGCCAGTTCTGCTTCACAGTTTTACAAGCCTACTTTAAAAGAGAAAGGCAAATGCCTTCAAAGTCTCCCACTGCCACAAGAGTGAGTAAACAGGCCATGAGCTGAGCTGAGCTGAGCTGTCACCCTGTGGAGACCAGACCAGCAGCTTTTCTGATCCTTCCTTTTCACATCTGCGGAAAGCAGCAGAGGACAGGACTGGCTCATGGGAACGAAGAATGGACCAGAAGACACTTGGGCCGACCCTGCACACACAGATGGCATGGTGACCCAGCACATGGAAGACGTTTCGGCCTCCAATCCATATATTGGGTATTTTCACATAAGCCCCCCACCAAGAGACGTCCAGCAACAGGCGGCACCCCTCTGTTGTCTGTCCGGTCAGATGACATCCCCAAAGCCGTAGCACTGGTAAAAGGCAAAACTGCCATTCAAACCAAGGTCCCCTCACTTGAGATTCACCAGTCCACTCACAACCACAACCCCAGGCGCCTGCAGCCCACGGAGCACGCTGAGTGCCTCTCCCAGACAGATGCGCTCCCTCCCTGCAACAAACAGGCAGTCCGCGCTGCAGTTCGTGGACAAGAGACCTGGATGTAAGACCTCACAGCATACAGCACACAGAAGAAAACAGGCAGAACACGCCACGCCACGAGCCTCAGCGGTGTGTCTTTGTGGATGTGGCGCAGCAGCGGGGAAGACAAGAGAATATAAACAACGGGGATGACACCAAACGAAACGGCTTCTGTACAGTGAAAGAAACTGTCTGTAAAACAAAAGACACCCAACTGAATGGGAGAAAATAGTTGCTCGCCAAACATCCACTGTTCGGGATCTAAGTTGAACTCATACAACTTGCTAAAATGAAAACCACCAACCACATCAAAAAATGGGCAGGAGAGCTAAGCAGAGGTTTCTGCAAAGAAGACGTGCAGGTGGCTAACAGGCACATGAAAAAGTGTTCACCATTGCTTATCATCAGGGAAATGCAGACCAAAACCAGAATGAGAATGTGAGAATGTCTTCTATCAAAAAAACCACAAACAGTAGGTGCTGGCGAGGATGTGGAGAAAAAGGAACCCATGTATACTACTGGTGGGAATGCAGACTGGTCCAGCCACTGTGGAAAGCTGTTTGGAGGCCCCTCAAATTACTGAAAATATAGCTACCATATGACCCAGCAGTTCCACTCTGAGGTTTCTATCTAAGAACACAAAAACACTAATGTGAAGGGAAACCTGCACTCCTGTGTTTTTTGCAGCACTGCTAACAATTGCTAAGATATGGAAACAACTTAACTGCCCGAGAACAGAGGACTGGATCAAGAAGATATGGCATATGCGCACAATGGAAATACCACTCAGCCATTGTAGGGGCAGGAAGGGCACAGTGCGGCATCTCTATGATTCTGTGAAGGAGTGAGTGAATCCTAGAGAGTCCTGGAGCCCTCAGTGGCTTTTGCAGGCTTTTATTGGGATTTACCAGGTACATGGCTGGCAAGAGGGGCTGGGGGGCCTAGAGGGGGGCCTGGTAGCCTTGTTCTCTGCTGCTCTCATGGTTCTGCTGGCGTCCCCGTGATGCCACCTTATAAAGCTCAGTCTCAGCCCAGATGAATCCCTTCTACACATGCCCACACCCTACTGCAGGTGCCCGCCCTCAGGCATGCATTCGGGACTGCAGGGTTCCGTCATCTATCCTGATGGCGGGAGGGCAGAAGAGCCTGACACTTTACCTTACCCCACAGCGATGAAAAAAGACAAACTCATGCCATTTGCACCAGCATGGATGGAGCTGGAAGGCAGTATGCTAAGCGAAGTAAGTCAGAAGGAGAAAGACAAATATGATGGTATCTTACACATGGAATATAGGGAAACTAATCAAAGGAACAGACAGTCAAACTTGAAAACTAACCCCGGAAAGTGATTATGAACTGCGGAATCCAGAGGGGCCGGGCGGAGGGAAAGGTGGGGAGCAGCACAAGGCCTGGGGTGGTGGACATGGTCCTTGGGTGGTGGGGGCACATGGGCATAACACTTGAAGGGGCGCCCATACTCTCAGAACACAAACGACAATGTAAACCAACATTACCTCAAAAAAATGATTAAAAGCTGTGAAAACCTAAAAAAAAAAAAAAAAAAGAGTCAAAGCTTCTGGATCTGTGAGTCCTGGATTTGAGCACCTGCTCTTCTCTAAGCCTCTGTTTCTTATCGAGTTATTTTTCCCAGCTTCTTGGGCAATGGAGAACATTTATTTATTTTTCTCTAAATAAGTCAGCCTTCAACAACCAACAAGAAACTACCACCACCTTCTCTTCTGGAGACTTAGGCGCTGGTAGCCCTTAACCCCAGAGAGAACAGACCACGAGCAACGAGCTCACAGCCACTGGTGGTTTCAGTGACAGGAAACACCAGGGAATGTTTAAAGCATCTTCACGGTGAATCCCCATTTGTAATTAGAGATCATCTAACAGTGACTGGAGCCAGGTTATTCCTGCTCAGATTAAGTTGCGTCATTATATGTAATTCCAGCTTTTACTTCTCAGTGCCTAAAACATCAATATATATGCATGTTCTCTTACCCTGGGAGAATGCGTTGTTTTATGTAAAAACACGAGCAAAGGAATTAGGCCCCCATTATTCAGGCGCTTGCTAATAAAGTCCTTCTTAAAAAGCAATCTTTGAAGGAGTTTAAAGTACTGACATTAAACTTGGAAAAAGATGAGTTAAACCAATTAATGGTACAACCTACAAGTGAAGATGGATAAATTTCCCTATTAAGCCCATTACGACGATTCCTCGTAACCTGATTTGAGGAGACTTTAATGTTTCCCTTGATTGTAATGATAATCTTTCATCTGGAAAAAGAAATACATTTAGAACTTGTACAACATTTGTAAATGTGCATTAGTGGAGTAACACTTATTTTTTCCCTCTGAATAATCTAGAGCAAGGAGGTTGAAATAAGCTCTCAAGCTGCCGATAACATCCACAGCCTTTTCCACACTCCAGGGTAAAAAAAAAAACATAGATTGAATATGCAAAATATCGGTTAGCCATGCCAACTCGGGCTCTAAGTGTGTTTCTCAGGCAGCGGGTAAGCGTTTCCCTACACGGGGAACCAGACTAGATTAGCAGTTCTAGAAAAACTACATCGTATCCAGCAGTTTTACTGAAAGATTTTGGAGCCAGCCAGACTTCTCAGACCCTCAGCTAATGAGCACTAAGCTGGGGAAATGACAATGGCTGCTCTCACCCCACGTCAGAACGGCAGGTGCCTTGAGACAAGGTATAGAAATGCGCTAAGGGGCCCCAGCAGCGGGTACAGGCAGCCTGGGCGAGGGGGCTGAGTGGGTGATGGTGGTTCCTGTGGTGCTCAGTTCACTGCAGAAACAGAACAAGTGCCTGAAGTCGCTCAGTATTTTGTTATAGTATGAGCGCAAGTGACCGGTGACAGGGAGGCTTCTGGGAGGAGGTCGACAGTGAACCAAGGTGGATGAGCAGCGAGCACTTAGCAGAGGAGACAACATCGCCGGCAGGTCCTAGAAATAATGAGGAAGCCCGCTGGAATCAAGTGATTGATTTTTAAAGTCTATTTATACTGAAGATTAGTTCTGCTCGAGTTAAACACACCAACTTCTGCATGATTAGATCTAATGCTAAATGATAAATGTTTTAAAAATCAAACATCTGTAAGTGTCTACACACAACACACACTTTCTTAAAGATGTTCCAGGGCAGCTAGTCGTTTTCAGGCGTGTCTGCTGACCAGGCAGCGCTGACTATTCGGGACTGTTAGGTAAGCCGACACACGCAGGAGGTTTCACTAACAGCAGACTGATTGTTAGGGTACGTGTGTGATGAGTAACTGTCCATTTGTTTTCAGTTTCATCTGCTCGCATTCAACATCCCCACCTAGGCTCTATTGAGGTAACTTAAATTTGTTTTCCAATACCTAGAGCACCAATACATGCATGTATGTTTTTAATCTTAAACATAAACTGCAATGTTACTCAGCGAGGCAGCAAGCCACATAAAGTTGGCAGAGGGCCGTGAATGCAAGCTTGGGCTTTGGGATCTGATCCTGATGATTTAGGAGGCACATGGAAGCTGGGGTTGCCTCTGTTAATTGGGGGGGAAGGGGCAGAACACATTCATTCCTAGATGAGGTGGGAGACCAAGAGTAGATTTCAGGCAAATGCAGAGAATCGCGGAGCTTCCTCTTGCTTCTTCCCCTCCACCCCACCCGTCCCTCTCCTGACTGGTGGGCTGATGCAAGGACGGAAGCACCATGCCCTGCCTGTGACAAAGTCTAGCAGGACCTCTGTGAGGAACCTCTTGAGAGTCTAGAGTAAGAGGGCAGAGGTTGGGGCTGAAATGGAAAACCCCCAATCAGAACTGAGGCTGGACCATATGGCCCTGGAGCTGCCTGGGCCAGGTGCCACCTGGGAGCTTCACTTCCATGTTTCTGGTGGATGAAGTGATATGAACTTAATATAAATAGAGCAGGACCAAAGGGAGAACCATAAGGGTGCCTTAAGTAATTCCAAATCCCAAAGGTTGAGTCCCACTCACTATTCTTTTCTCCCTGCAGGTCATACAACCAACTCCGACTGTCTCCTCGCCAAAAGCCTTAGGACAGGACTGGTACAGTGACTTGGCATCAACAGCAGATGGCATTCAAGCCTCATGGGACACCCACTGGGCTCAGAGGGGACCTGGGAAAGGTACAAATATAAAATATTCGCTATTCTTATTTTCACTTCTAGTAGTAATATTTCATTTGCTCAAAATTGCCTCTTTAGAGATCCAGTATCTAACAAGGCAGATGAAACAGGTAGCAATTTCCCTCTTCCCTTCCTAAACATCATATAAAGTCAACACTGTAAACAGAAAGAAAATCACAGATTTCATTTCCAGCAAAACCAGAGGTGAAAATCCCTGGATTTAAATTTGAATAGTACAGTAGAAGCTACCCAGTAGGAAAAGAAGAAGTCAAACTATCACTATTTGCAGATGATATGATAATATACATAGAGAACCCCAAAATCTCCACAGAAAAACTAATTCAACTCATCAATCAATTCAGTAAAGTGGCAGGATACAAAATCAACACGCAAAAGTCAGTAGCCTTCCTATACACAAACAATAAATCTGAAGAAGAAGAAATCAAAAAAACCACCCTTTTATTATCGAAACAAAAAAAATCAAATATTTGGGAATAAATCTAACAAAAGAGGTAAAGGACCTATACAAAGAAAACTATAAAACACTGTTAAAAGAAATAGAAGAAGACACAAAGAAATGGAAAGACATCCCCTGCTCATGGATTGGAAGAATAAACATTATTAAAATGGCCATCCTACCAAAAGCAATATACAGATTCAATGCTATTCCAATCAAAATCTCAATGGCATTCTTCAAAGAAATAGAACAATTATTGATGAAATTCATATGGAATCACCAAAAACCCCGAATAGCCAAAGCTCTACTGAAAAAAAGAAGGAAATGGAGGCATCACACTCCCAGACTTCAAACTCTACTACAAAGCCATAATCATCAAAAGTGCATGGTATTGGAACAAGAACAGACATACAGACCAATGGAATCGAATAGAAAATCCAGAAATAAACCCACAGATTTATGGTCAACTAATCTTTGACAAAGGAGCAAAGACTATGCATTGGAGCAAAGAAAGTTTGTTCAATAAATGGTGCTGGGAAAACTGGGTCGCTACATGCAAAAGAATGAAGCTTGACCACTACCTCACACCATACACAAAAATCAACTCAAAATGGATTAAAGAACTAGACATAAGACCTGAAACCATAAAATACATAGAAGGAAATATAGGCGAAACACTACGGGATTTGCACATCAAAGACATCTTTACAGACACATCACCCAAAGCAGTGATAGTGAAGGCAAAGATAAACAGCTGGGACTACATCAAATTAAAGAGCTTCTGCACAGCAAAAGAGACAATAACAAAAACAAAGAGAAACCCCACCAACTGGGAGAACATTTTTGCACCCAACACTAATGATAAAGGACTGATCACAAAAATCTGCAAAGAGCTGATGAGACTCAGCAACAACAAAGAAAATAATCCAGTCAAAAAATGGGCAGAAGAGCTAAAAAGAAACTTCTCTGAAGAGGAAATGCAAATGGCCAACAGACATATGAAAAAATGTTCAACATCACTTGTAATCAGGGAAATGCAAATCAAAACTACCATGAGATACCATCTCACACCAGTGAGAATGGCACATATTAAAAAAACTAGCAACAACAAATGTTGGCGAGGATGTGGAGAAAAAGGAACTCTTCTGCACTGTTGGTGGGAGTGCAAACTGGTCCAACCACTATGGAGAGCTGTGTGGAGATTTCTGGACCTACTAAACATAGAGCTTCCATATGATCCAGCAATTCCACTCCTAGGTATTTACCCAAAGGACACAGAAACATCAATTCCAAAGAGCACCTGCACTCCTATGTTTATAGCAGCACTGTTTACAATAGCTAAGCTTTGGAAACAACCCAAATGCCCAAAAATAGATGACTGGATCAAGAAGATGTGGTACATATATACCATGGAATATTACTCAGCATTCAAAAAAGATAAACACATGCAATTTGCAGCAACATGGATGGCACTGGAAGGGATCATGTTCAGCGAAATAAGCCAGAAAGAAAAAGAAAAATACCGGATGGTCTCACTCATAGCAGGAATCTAGAAAACTTAAATAAGGGACCAGGAAAATGAATATAAGAAAGTGAAAATCAAAATCAACAAAAAACTATGAACCAGAGACACTTTTTGGGGGTGGGGGCGGGAGGGGAAGGATTGGGGTCAGAATGGGGCGTTTGCAATTGTATGGGGGAATATAAAAATAAAATTTAATATTAAAAAAAAAAAAATTGAAAAGAAAAAAAAAAAAAAAAAAAAAAAAAAAGGACAGTAAGAGTCAAATGGCCTGGGGCGGATGATCTCAGAGAGTGCCTATAAAAGTGGTGATTCTACAGGCCAGAGGTTCACTCTCAAGTGAAACTGGAATACAGTGAGAGATGGGGTAGTGTGCACAGTTGTGCAGTGAGCACAAGTGGTGAGAAGCCCTCTTGGACCTGCTGTTTCACAGAAACAGGAAAGATAGTGCAGAGCTGCCATTTCAGTAGGAAGCCATGAGTACCGGTGACTCATTGAAACAGGCCCACTGTGGAGTCTATAAAGACAGGTTCCGCACCACCCACCCACCCACCCACCCATCCACCCATCCACCCACCCACCCATCCACCCATCCATCCACAGGACTCCCTTTACAACAGCTATGCCAGTAAAGTCTCACTTATGCTAGTCCTGTAAGTAAAACTCTTCTGGGGCCTCCCCTGGTGGCGCAGGTGTTTGAGTGAAGCACTGTGGAGCTATCTGCAGCCTCTGCAGCACGGGTTCGATCCCAGCTGACCAGCAAGGGTCCCACATGGTGTGGCAGACCTCCCGTCTCGCCTGCTGCTCCCCTCAGCAGTGTATTTCGTCAGTCTGCCTGTTCTGGTCCCCGCTCTGTCTCTGGTGAATCCTCTCACCATCTGGCACATCTGGCCTGTACCCTGGTTCTTGTATAAATAAATAAATGAATCTTTAAAAAAAAAACACTCTTCCAGTTCTTTAAGAAAAGGAGTTTGCAGATTGACTCAAAAGAAGGAAAAATTATAGAAAAGAGCAGGAGAATCTAGCACAGAAGAAAAATCAGAAATATGGAAAACATAAAAATGAAGTGTAATATACCATGGGTTAAAAAGAAGCCATCACCTTTATAAAGACAATGAGATAGTACCCAGAAGTCAGAGGTGAAGAGACAACAGAAGAGATGACACAGGAGCATTTAGATTCTGCAAAGAAGTAAAAACAAAGAACAAAGATCATCATTAAAATGAAGCCAAACTGGAAGCAGCACAGGAGAGGACCCGGTGGGAAATGCAGGGAGAGAGGAGGGTGCCAGGAAGGAGTGCAAATAACATGAAAACGAAACAGGGAAATTAGGAAGGATCAGAGAGAAAACGACAGCTGTGGAGACATGGCCCAGGCACCCCTCATGCACACAGTCGAAGCCTCTCGAGAAACAAAAGAAAACAATGCAAGAGGACATACATTTAAAATATAAATTGTTTAAGTCATTCCTGAAATGAAAAAAGACTTGAATCTACCAATTGGAAAGGCACAGTGTGAGCCAAGGAAAATTGATCCAGAATGGTCGATAGCAAGGTCTATCCTAATGAAGTTACTGGATTAAAAAATAAAATGAAGAAATATTGACATAGTAGCACAGAGAAGAGATCCCAGTAACTTAGGGGAGGAAAAAAGGAAAGAAACAAGGCTGCCCTCATATTTCAAACAAGCAATATTCAAAGCCGGAATCCAGCAGAGAATATCAGTAAGACAGTCAAGAAAAGAAAGTTGAGTCCAAACTTCTCTACCCGCCTGAGTTACTCTGCAAGAAGAAATACTATAAAAAACTTTTTTGAACAGCCAGTAACTTGGGGATGTTTGTTTCCTGCTCCCAGGAGCCCTTCTGGGGAGCTACAAGAGGACGAGCAGTAGCCAATTATGCAGATGACTGGGGAGATGAATTTATTTATGAGCGAGCAAAGGTGTAGAGCTGGGCAACAAACAAGAATGCAAATACTGCACACCCAGAAATTGAAAAATGATACAATTCTGGGCCTCCCCGGTGGTGCAGCGGGTTGAGCGCAGCACTGTGACGCTGTCCATAGCCTCTGCAGCGTGGGTTCGATTCCCGGCCGGCCAGGGAGAGTCCCACATATCTCCTGTCTTGCCCACTGCTCCCCTCAGCAGTGTTTTTTGGTTGTCTGCCTGTTCTGCTCCCCATTGTGTCTCTGGTGAATTCTCTCACCCTCCCGCACCTCTGGCCTGTACCCCAGTTCTTGTATATATAAATCTTAAAAAATTAGTAAAAAAAAAAATTATACAATTGAACAAAATAAGAGGATGCAAAGTGGGACAGTCTGCTGACTGCCTTGTCTATTGTAGCTCACAAAAGGCACCAAAAGATGAGTCAAGCAACATAAAAGTGAGTATGCCTCAGAACAAAGGTAAAGCCTTCGACTTGGGGGCCTGTGTGAACTGGTAAGTACATGGTTTGCAGGTGGTCGTGAAAGACGGGGAGTGAGGGAAAGAGAGGAGGAAGAAACATGTTTAAATTGTTCACATCCTTAAATATCGGATTTATGCACTCACACATCTCCCGCATACCAAGACAGACTCACAGTGAAGAGGCAAATATCATAAAACAATAGAGCAGATCCAGATCGGGCCACACATAATTTTTAACATCTATAAGCCTAAGTGGGTTAAAATCCATTTCTAAAAAGAACAGGATTTCATTTTCAGACTAAGTCACAGAGAAAAAGCTACACCCACATCAATTACCAAAAAATATATATATATATTTTATATATATATATATATATATATATAAAATGTAACAATGGCAAAGAGATTAAGAGATTGCACTAGATAAATCTGACCCCACAACTCCACTTTGGGCATATAAGCTACAGGTACAGGCACAGAAAAGTATGTGAAGTAACACGTGTAAGCCATCCATTACGGCATTGTTTGAAATAGAACAAGGCTGAAAGTAATGGCCGTGGTTAAATCAATCACAGCTCGTCCATCCAAGGAAAACTGTGCGGCTGTTTGTGTGATTTGCAAGGATCTAAACACGTTAAAGCAGAAGTGGCGAGCGCCATATGCTGCTCTCCGTGGTAAAGGCAGGGTCATCTCTGCGTGTGTTTTCTTCTGTGTGCAGCCAGAAACTCTTCAAGGATAAACCAAACCTTGTATGAGTGGCTTCCCAGTTTTGCTGGGAGCTGGACTGAAGGGGGACAGGAATGGAGGGGGAACTTCTGTACCCCTGCAGCACTCCGTGGCCGTGATGAGAATGCAGAGCCCTTGGCGAAGCAAAATTCTGTCTCCTTGTCTCTGTCCCCCACTAAACCTTATACTCCCTGAATGGGATCCTGTGTCCACCCACTGAGTTGTCTCCTTGCCACTGACAGCAAGGCCCAAAACATAGGTCATTAGTTGAGGTTTGTTGACTGAATAAACAAATAAATGAACGAATGCAATGCAGGTGGGAAACAGCTCATGATGTGACCTGAGGAGTCTTGTTAGCTGTTTGCGGGATCCATCCGTTCTAATGCCACATGCTAACGTTTTTCTTTTTAACCCAAAGGGGAAAAATAATCCCTGACCAGGGATTTTTTTAATCAGCACTATCTGTGTGCTGTTCTCCCTCCCGGCCGGTGACCTTGGGCAGGTCTAAATTCAATTCCAGCTCTCCCCGGTCACGCACTCTGGGGATGCAGACATGATTAAGACCTGGCCCTGGCCCCATGCTCTGTCTTCCCTCCTTATTTGTAAAAGGAGAACGTTTTCCTTCCATCAAATTGATGGAACTGGCACAGCACAGACCTGAGCCATCTCCTTTCCCAGAATGCCTTTTCCCGGAGAACCAAGGCTCGTCTGTGGACTCCTCTCCCCAGCAGCCCCCCAGGAAGATTCCAGCAGCTCTTCCAGAGTGTCCCCAGGGCCTGTACCTGCGTTTTCTCTCTATTTCATGCCACATTATAACCTTTCGTCCCTCTGGAGCCTGCGAGCTGAGGTACAGCAAGGACTCGGCACCAGTCACACGAGTCCTGTCTCCCGGCCCTGACTGGTCAAAAGCAGACATTGATATACGGGAGCAAAAAGAGCCAAAAAAATACATGTTCTGAGCTAAATGCTCCCACCTGCACAAAAGCACCAGATACCAACATGCTGAACAGGTCACAAAAGTCACTGGCTGGTGGAGACCTTTGCAGAAGACAGGGAGAGTCACGGCCTCCGCCAGAGAGGCCACTGCCAGGCAGAGGGACAACAGACGTGGGTGCAGAGGACTGGGGACACGTGCTGCCCATGAGGCTGCCTGGATAGAAGGACACAAGCCCTCGGTAAAGCCTCAGGATGTCTGGCCAGGAGGCCCCATTTTCTCCACATTTGAGAAAAGCAAGACCTTGCAGGCGAGGACCTCGCCCGTCCTCTCCTCCCCGCCCCCCTCAACATACGTGAGGACCGAAGACGCCATCCGCGCCCAGGGCCACGTGACTCAAGCCACACTCGCCACGCCCGCCACGCCGCCCTGCTCGTGGGAAGCGTGGCCCAGACGGGCTCCTCCCGCCCAGGAGAGGATGACCAGGAACCTCCCCCGATGGACCTGGGTCCAGGGCGCTGCCCCCTTGCCGACACCTCAGCCAGCCTGGCCCAGCCGGAGGGGAGGCTCCTGCCTCGTCACAGACTGTGATGGAGAGATGCTAGAACAACTCGCACACCTGGCTTATTTCAACACGGCTTCTCCTTCCTGTCTGGCTAGTTACCACAAAGTAATTTAGTTTATCTCTATCTCCGCGAGCTTATTTGGAAACCATGGAATGCTGCTTACAGAAAATTAAGCTTCATTTTCTTGAAGCATTCAGCCAACAGTGCAGGGAGAAGATGGTGATTTGGAGGTAACTGGCTTATGCATATGTAAACATGATACATTTAGCAAATTATGTAGACTTCACACTTCAGAGCATTGAAGAAAACAAAGGTAGCTTCCAAGGAACCTTTAGTGCAATAGAGTCATTCTGAGAGGAATACAGAATTATTGGTTTGTAAGAATGCTTACACTCAGATATGAATGGAAAATAATGGTTTACAACATGGAGCCGGGGGGCGGGCGCAAGCAGAATGTGAACAGGTCTGATTTTAAGTGGTGTTAAGGCGTCTCTAAGGACTTGGAGAATTATAGCCCATAATGTGCCTCAAGATTGAATTTGTGGCATGATGAGGTGGTACATTTCAAACTCAATTCCCCTGTGACTCCTCACGCTTCACACAATTTCCTAGCATATGTTTTTCTCCTTGGGTCCAGAGAGAGATTTTTGAGACCTACCTCCAGCTCAAAAAGCATCGCACTCGTTAAAGCACCTTGCACCGCACTGAGTACCTCCTCCACTCTCCGCTAGGACCTGTGCCTCGGCCCTCCCCAGACTCATCAGTGATGAATGGCTCTGAAACATAATTGCAAGCACAGCTCCATCGAGGACCACCTTACAGGCCAGCGCTGTGGACGGCACAATGCCTGCATAGTCCGGGGGGACACAGGTGCTCCCGGATTTCCCAGCTGCAGACCAAAGAAGGTGGGTCAACATCTGTGGGGTCCAGCGGCCCCCCCCCGACCTGCAGTGTGCACATGGCCAGCTGGTGGCTGTGAGACAGGTGACCTGGGGCAGCTCAGCTTGTGTGTCATCCACCAATACTAAGCCAGCAGTGGCCACAATTCCTCTCAAGAGCTGCCACACATTAAGCACCTACTGTTGCCAAGAACCGGGCTGGCATTATACTCTTATTTCAATAATTTAATCCTGGTGCTAACTTGTCATTATTATTTCTGTCTCACCAATGTGGAAACAGAAGCATGGGGGGCGGGGGGACTACGTGCCTTTTTTTTTGGCTGCTACTAAGTGCTTAGGATATGACAGATGCCACACACACAAACGCGATCTCACTCAATCATTGCACTAACTCTCGCTGAAGTAGGGGGTTTGCTTGTATCCATCCACCAGGCGGTGGAAGAACAGGTTAGAGAACATGTCGAAGGTCTAGTGAATTAAGGGCATTGCTGAGAGTTGGGTTCAGGTCACAGATGCAGTTTTCTCTGTGCTGCCATGGTCTGCAGAGAGGCCCCTGCTCTAGGAAGAAGCACTGGGGACCTGTAGAAGCCTTGCTGGTCTCTGGTACTCTCTACTCCCACTTTTCACACACACACACACACACACACACACACACACACACACACACACACACACAAAGCCTCATGAGTCTTTGAGTAGCCCCCTTATTATTCCCCTTTTATAGCTGTAGAGACTGAGCTTTGGAGAACTTACACCAACTGCTTAAATGAGTAAAAAGTTAATGAGCCGAATTTGCAGCAAGGCTGTGTGACTCTGGTGCTGTGCTCCTGGTCAGGAGGCAACAGTCGTGAATCAGACCGCCAGTCGTTACTCTAAAAGGACAGCCACATGGTGTTGATGGCCTAAGTAAGGTTCCGACTCAGGTTCTGCCTCAGGATGAGCAACACACAGTGACAATGACGACCCGTTAGTAGATCTGATATGAGACAAGTCACACAGGCACAGAGGGCGACAGAGAGTTAGCTGGACTGCTACAAACAAGAGCGATGCTTAGAACACTAACAGCAACAAGCAATTCTACAACAAATGCCCAATAATAGGGATTAAATTATGGCCCACAGATGTGCTGGAAAACCAAGAAGCCATTAAAAAGTATGACAAATTATAACATACAAGATGTTTATAATAATTATAAACAGAATGTATGATAAAGCAGAATGTAAACGTGAGGCATGATGGGACTCCTGTGAAGTGAAATGGGCAGTGAGGTCATGGGAAGTGAATGGGAAAGAGACAAGGAGGGGGTGGGGTGGGGGTGGGGTGGGGGAGGGTCTCCACAGAAGGTCAGCAATGGGGCTGTTCCGTGCAGGATCCTCACTGCAGCTTTCTCTCCTTTTCCCTGTTGGTATTTTCTAATAGTCTACAATTAACAAAATCCATTCTTTTTTTGATGGTTTAAAGGTCGTATTTTAGGTCTAAGAATGTCTATGTAGGTTGAGGATAAGACAAAAATTATCCAGAGAGACTCAGTAAAGACTGCCCAAGACCAGAACGCATTTCCCAGCGTTTGAAGGGCACGGATATTTCCAGAAATGCCTTTCATGGTGAAGACCCCTTGGTAAATAGCCGATTTGTTTGTTTTTTTTTTTTGGTGAGCTGCACTGCAGAATCTCACATTAAAGAGAATCTTTTCAATTTGCCTAACCTGTAGGCTTCCTCATTTATAAGGCCACAGAGCGCTTTTTATCTATGTAGGATGCAATTAATAATTTGCAATTCAGAGGAAGCCAGTTTGGGAAATGTTCGCCTGAAGATCATCATTGATTCATCTCCACCGTCTATGAATAGCCTGGACGGCGGCTCCCTTCCACACCTGCGTGTGACACAGACATTTCCGCCTCTCCGCCTCCCCCATGCATACTTTCAGAATGTAGGCAGAGGAAAGATAAATAAATTTACATATTTTAGACAGGGGATACCTGGATCTGTAGACTTCATTTCACATCCAAACATTTTGGGAAGCATGAAGCGTTCCCCCAGTGCTGCGGCGAACCCTGGTGTTCTCTCTGAGCGAGGTATTTTTTTGGAGACTTTGCCTGGAGCCACGTCAACTGACCACCCCTCAGAGATGAGCCTGCAGCGGAGCCTGTGGGGGCTCCATACAGGGATGGCTGATTCTCTGGGCTCGGGGCGGCCTAAAGACACTCGGGGTCAGGTCAACGCCACTGCTAGTTCAAGGGTGGGGGTGTCAGGGCATCAAAATTTGGGGTATTTTGAAATATGGCCTCAGGCGTAATTTATAAGCTTGGTGTGTCCTGCTTCTCAGTGAGGGACAGGAGAACCCTCTTAGCTTCCTGAGCTCCAGCTGGAAGAGGGACCTTCTGTGTCAACATACCTGAGCTTATCGCCCATAATGGAATATGTACACAGCTAAGATTCACTAATCCAATTTTCTATGTCAAGGGATAGCAAAACCCTGACAGGAACAAATTCCCGAGAGGGTCAGGATACATCATCTTTTATTTAGTTTGTTTTCCTTTTTTAATCCTGTGTAATGATGTGAAAACGCCCAATGACTTTCACAGAAACCACCCATTTCTCTGACAGTGGATATTCTGCATGCAGCCGGGGTCTCACAGAGGGAGTTGAACAGGATGAACAGATAAAGACCACATTTATTTGGAGGTGACTTCTCCAAGATGAATGATTCGATCCTGGAAAATTAGGCTGGGACTGATTCAAAAAGTCTCTTTGGGTAAAACTGAATTCTGAAAGATTCATTTTTCCACTTTCACCAAGAGGCAGCTTAAGTAGCTGTGGAGAAGAGTCTGTAGCGTGGTTATCACATTAGTCTTGAGAAAGAAATCAGTTTGCTTTTAAAAGAGCAGTGCAGAGACACGGACGCTATTGTCAGTAACATTCCCAGGGAGGCACACGTCCTCTCGAGAGCCTCCTTTCCCGGACAGAACGCAGAGGAGCCTGGGGAACAGCCAGGAACTCACCAGCTCCTGCTCCTGACAGGGGACCCTGCGCCAGGTCTCAACAGGGTGGGGATGGAGTCTGGTCCATGCACATGTAATAGACCGCAGGGGCAGAGTCCTAGCCTGCACTCACACTCCCATGGTTGACAGTCCTTGCCTGAGCAATGTGTGGTCTGCACCTCTAAAGGCCCAGGGGGCCTGGGGGAGGGGAAAGACACGCAATGGGACAGTTTCCTAATATCATAGGGCAGGACACCATTTCAAAAGGCCCGGGTGCTGGATAGGACACTGAGAGGACAACATGGGGCTTCAAAGGGAATCCAGCTACTCTGAGGGGTACAGAGAGGAGGAGATAAAGCAACCAGAGGCAGGCTTGACCAGGGTTATGGAGTCAGCGTGCAGAGGCCCCTCGAGAACGGGGCCCGTTGGCACTGCTGAACCAGCACTAACTAACACAGGTGCATTCCAGTCTCGCCATCTCTGCAAACATAAGCATCATGCATTAGCTGCTCTGCTCTTTGGTGAGCTCTGGGATGGCAGACAGAGGCTACCCACCAAACAGCAGTCACAGCGCACTGAACAACAGGGCCACATTCCTCGTCACAGGCGAGGTTGTCTGCTGTCTATGTCACTGGGTTTGGTTAAGCAAACCTAATACCTGCCTAGGCTATAAGGTATAGCCTGTCAGGGCCACTGTCATATATTCAGGGCATCATGGCCCGAACATGGCTAATCAACACATAATGATACCATTTCGTGTATTTTAAGAGACCAAAAGAAACGAGAAATAGCAGCCCACCTGGCCCCATGTAGACAGCGTTGTGAGGCTGTGCTGAGGCGGCCGTAGGAGGGAACGCAAGATGAGGGTGCTTCCTCTGGGGCACAGGCCTGGGGCCAGTCCTGTGCGCCCAAGCACATCTGAGACCCGGGCTCTTCCTGCCCACTCCAGCAAGAACACCAGGCCGGGTATCACACTGTGGTTTAGACAGTTTCCCTCCCAAGTTCTCCTCCTTGACATCACTGACTAGAAGAGCGAAGCGCTGGGACAGGATAAGCCTTGTGCTCTGCGTGAGCTGGCCTGTGACTGGCGCCTGTGAGGCTGCCCGCTGCCGAGGTGAAGGTGGAGCTCTGGAGGGGGTGACACAGCATCAACATGGACCGGAGGAGGTGGCGCCATTGATTTCTGATTCTGAGCCTGCCTCCCTACTGGCTACAACACCTCAGCAGCTGCAGACGCCGTTATGCATGTGTCTCTTGTGAAGTGTTTCCACCTCAATATGGTGAAAGCTTCACATGGTGAGTGGTTAAGAGAGACCAAAGCTGCCACTCTTCATTCTTCTATGAACCAAATTCCACGGGAATGTTGAAATAATTTATAAGATGACAAAAGAAAACTGATGAAAATTTCATGTATTAGTCCCAACACCTAGCTATGTCTGTGTATGTAAACAAATGCTGTGTAAGGACCTTCTTTGCTCTAAAATTTTAAAAAGACTATGATAATTTCGCAAGACTCTTTAGCTTGAACCAGAATGTATGATTTTGTAAAAGTAGTCACTTACTGTCTTAAAGCACATCATTGCATTTGTTACTGTAAGTGAAGAAAAAAAAATAGCACAATGTGATATACACATCAATGTAAATTTCACAGTGTTAGTGTAACAACAAGGAGCAAACTGGGCCTTTAAATGACTCCTGAGGGAACTCCATCCTCATGACTTTTTTTTTTTTTACGGAGTCTAACCTTCATCTCCACACAGAAGAGAGCTCAGGCTCTGAGGATTACAATTCCCAGCATGCCATCAACCTGACTTCCTGAATGGGGGCTGCTGGGATCTAGAGGTTGAGTTAAACCGTCATATTTGGCTAATACTTGAATACATGCACACTCTTGCTCTCTTGCTTTTCCAGCTCTGACTTGTACCCAAGTACTTGGAAGAGATGCATGGGAGGATACCCATGGAGGAGAGACACATGGAGAGGCTGCTCCCGGTCCTTGGCAGACAATGACAGCCATTATCCTGATGTAGCATATTTTGAAATTTGATTATCTCCTTCTGCCCCAGCTCTCTGGGGCCTGTCTAAGCCCTTTCTTGTAAAGATACATATTGGTCTGTGGCAAGCTTTGGTCTTTGTGGCTTTTGGGCCACTTCAAGCCAAGTCTATTTGACTGGGCATTAGCCATTGAAGGGATGGGTACCTTTTGGATTTTTAGTGGAAGTCTGTTACTTGAAATCCTTTCTCTCTCTCTCTCTCTCTCTCTCTCTCTCTCTCTCTCTCTCGCTCGCTCGCTCTCGCTCTCTCTCCCCCTACACTGGTTCTATTACAATTCTATCGCAAAGCATATGCTTCCTTTGCCTTTGTGCACACAGATGGCTAAATCACTTTTAAAGCATGCATCCCTTAAGAGTTTGGAGTCCCTGGGTACCCCTCAGTCATGTACTAACAGGGATTATAAGCTTACAATTAAGATAATTAACAGCCCCAATTACTAGAAGATGAATAAAGGACTCTGTATATATCAAAACAAAAATAAAAATATTAATAACATTTGAGTGTAAAGATGAAAGG